TCCTTTGGGCACTTTTATTGCATTAAGGATAAGCAGGTGCTGCTTTACTGCCTGTGGAAGAGGGTCCATGCCGAGATGTGCAGGGGTCTCTGGCGAAGAACGAGGGTCCTGTCACGGCACTACACTTTCCTGGGCCAGTTTACCACATCGTCTCAGAGAGCTCAGTAACCAACCCCAGCCTGTAGCCACAGCTAGGTCACAGTCTAGAATAAAGAGCTTGCATTTGTGTAGCACCTTGCACAACCTGAGGTCATCCAGACATTTTACAGCCGATAACGTCCCCTAGGTGTGCAGTCACTACTGTAATGGGAGGAAATCCTGAAAGCCAATTTGTAAGCACCAAGTTGCCAGAAAGAGCAATGACCAAATTTTCCTATTTAAAAGAAATCTGGTGGCGGAGTGGGTAGTGTCCCAGCCCCTAAGCCTCTGGATTCAAGTCGTACTCTAGGTCGTGCCGGCCAGGGAAGCTGTGTTGGTGGTGTGGTCAGTTATCAACTTGTAAATCCTTCCAGTGACGTACATGTACTCTACCAGCCCCATCCAGCCCATCACATGCACATTGCCACAGAAACCCTGACTCCTCCAGGAGCGGTGGTGGGGGTGGAGCTGGAGCTGGGGGATGGTGGGGTAGTCAGTGGCTGTATGATCAGGACTGACCAACTTGATGCCAACAGTACAAAGTACGATCCCAATGGGGTGGATTAGTAAGGGGATTGAGAGACAGATCAGCCATTATTGAATGGTGCGGCAGACCCGATGGGCTGAATGGCCTAATTCTGCACCTATATCTTATGGTGTTATGGATTCAGGACCTGCCTCCTTGGTCGACCTGAGGTAGAGATTGAGAGTCAGACCAGCTTTCAGGGAGAGGAGTGCAGACATCTGCTCTCATGATCTTGTTTGAAGGATTCAACATTTGATCAGGTCACTGATTCGCCCTCACAGGAGGGCCATTTGATTTGTTACATCCATCCGAGGGAGTCCTCGTTTCAACCTGTTCAAAGAGACAGCGCCCTTTGCCATGGCAGCACACCGTCAAGAGTGCCAACCGCAAAACAAGAGAGCTACCCTTTGAGGCAACTCCAGGTACAGTGCACAGAGTACCAACCATTCCCAAGCCTTTCACACGTGTTTTAATCTGTGGCCAACACAGTTTGATAGGTCGGTCCCTCTTCCCATGCTGCCGCTAATTTTCAGTAAGTATTTGTTTGCCTTGTTCTTTAAATGACCAGGAATCACTTTGAATGTACAGGCCATTCAGTCCAGCTGCTCAGTGCTCATATTTATACACGACACACACACTTCCTCTTCGTCCCCTGTTTACACGTATCGATACAGTTTACCTCAAACTGGGAGCGTTGTTATACAAGAGAGACCTAGGGGTTCAGGTATATAGTTCCTTGAAAGTAGAGTCACAGACAGGGTGCTGAAGGCGGCATTTGGTATGCTTGCCTTCATCTGTCAGAGCACTGAGTGTAGGAATTTTGCGTCTGTACAGGACATTGGTGAAGCTTCTTTTAGAATACCCTCCTAAAGAAACGATATTATTAAATTTGAAAGGGTGTTGAAAAGATTTACAAGGACATTACCAAGACTGGAGTTATAAGGAGAAGCACCCTTCCGCCTCTGACACTTCAGGGAAAATAGCCCCAGCCTATTCAGCCTCTCTCTGTAGCTCTGAGAAACTGAGAGTGTGTGTCCTAGTAAATGAATCACAGAAGTAACTAAGAAACCTAATAGAGTATGAAGGTACAGCAAGTAAGTTAACAGAACATTATCATTTATTGCAAGGGGAATTGAATAAAAAAAGTAGAGAGATTATGCTTCAATTATGCAGGACACCGGTGAGAGCACACACACTCTATACAATATTGGTCCCCTTAGTTCAGGATGCATTGGAAACCTTCTCTGAAGATTTGATAGACTAATATCCGGAATGAATCGATTGCATCGTGAGGAAAGGCTGGGTCTGTATCCACTGCAGTCTAGAAGAGGCAGAAGTGACTTATTTATAACATAAAAGGTCCTGAGGGGACTTAACCAGGTGGATGTGGAAAGGATGTTTCCTCTTTTGGGAGAATCTAGAATCAGGGGTCAAGTTTAAAAATCAGAAGTCACCGAATTAAAACAGAGATAAGCACAAATTATTTATCAGAAAGAGTGGTGGAACTCTCTTCCCAAAAAGGTGGTGGAAGCAGACTCTTTGAATATTTTTAAGCCAGAGGTTTACAGACTTTGATAAGAGATTGAGAAGGGTTAAAGGTCATCATGGATAGACAACAATGTGGAGTAATCAGAACAGCCATGATCTTACTGAAATGGTGGAGCAAGTTTAATGGGCAGAGTGGCCTAGTCTTGTTCCTAATACCTAACTATCAACACACTCATGATTACAAGAAGAAACATCTCTACATTTACTTGATCAACCCCTTTCACATTTTTAATGATCACATCACCTCTCAGCCTTCACTTTTCTAGAATAAAGCAGCCTGGTTTGTTTTTTTTTTAAAACTGACATTTATAGCCTCTCAGTTCAGGTACCGAACTTGCGAAGATCTTTAAAAGTTCTCCTTCCATTGGTCACATGGTACATCCATCCTCATTAGCACTGGCTTCCCAAAAGCCAATTGGATGGCAAACAGAATCTTCATTCTCCAATGTATAGTTCTTGGCCATCAGTCAAATAGCCTTTCTCCCCAGTCGATGGTATTTTCTAACTAATGAACATTTTTGTTTATTCGTTAGAAAATATCAAAGAGAAAAGAGAAAAACACCCTTTGTTAATGCCTATTACCATTTAAATTCATTTGCTGACAAATGCAACATTTATTGCCTGTCCCTAATTGCCCCCAAAAAGGTGATGGTGAGCTGCTATTTGGAATTACTGCAGTCCTTAGGCTGTAGTGACACCCATAATACCCTTAGGAAGGCAATTCAGGAGTCTGACCCAGTGACAGTGAAGGAAATGGTGATATATATTGAGTGGCTCAGAGGGGAACTGTAGGTGGTCGTGCTCCCATGTGTCTGCTGCTCTTGTTCTTCTAGATGGTAGAGGTTACAGGTTTGGGACTGATTTAGGTGATTAACTTAAAGGCACCAATGCGGACCCTAAAATGGACCATCAGTGCTCCTTGACCAGGGTGGAAAACAACCAGTCAGGGATCACACTTCCACTCCCAGTGCCTCATGCTGGAGAATGAGTGGAGGCAGTTGATGAGTGAAGTGGGTTTCTGGTGTTAAGCGCACAACAGTCAGTAGCTTGTTGCCCAGGCTTGCAAGTGAAGAATGGCTACTTGGGTTTGATGCTGGGTTTGCACAACTTGCTAGTGCTTTCAGTGGAATTAAGTCAGAAGTCACGTGACACCCGGTTATAGTCCAACAGTTTTATTTGAAATCACACAAGCTTTCAGAACGCAGCCCCTTCATTGGGGGCTTGTGTGATTCCAAATAAACCTGTTGGACTATAACCTGGTGTCACATGGCTTCTGACTTTGTCCACCCCAGTCCAACACTGGCACCTCCACATCAGTGGAATTAAGGGAGAAAGGTGAAAGATTACTTTTAAAACAGTCTAAACCTGGTGACTCTGCAGAGTGCAAAGTTCGCTCCTAATTGATAACAAACTCAGCAATTGTGACCAGGAAAAGAGCTTAGCTCAAAACCCCTTCGATTCTTTACCTTAATGTGATGTGGATATTACTGGCAAGATAAAAAGGATTATGCAAAGCACTGGTGACCTTTAGGGAAGGAAACTGCCATCCTTACCCAGTCTGGCCTACATGTGACTCCAAACCAACAGCCATGTGGTTGACTCTTAACTGCCTTCTGCAATGGGCAAGCAAACCTCTCAGTTCAAGGGCAATTATGAACAGGCAATAAATGCCAGCCTTTCCAGTGTTGACCACACCCCATGAAAGAATACTTCCACAGACCTAAAGAAGGATCTGTGATCAGTTAATGGCTAGAGGGGAGAAAGTATCGAGAGAGATGGGGGAAGGGATGATCCTGGGGAAAGGATCTGAAGGAGTCTTATTGGGAACATGGCTAAGTTAACAATTCTAAACTTCAGAATTTAATGATGGACTGAGAAGATGCAAGATCCTGCATTTATGTACCACATTTCACAACTGCAGTAACCACCCTCTCCAAAGAAAGTAGTGACATAGAGCTGATTAAGTTCTTTGTAAGTGGCAGCCACTTGTAATCGAGGGATCGCAGTAATCAAATTGCACAAGTAGCAAGCATCAGCAATGACAGTGACTAGACCATCCGTTTTCTGCAATCAATATTGACCAGAGAGCAGTGACAGCCCCATTATCCCACCAACATATACACATACAAACACGCACACAGACATAT